TCAACAAATATACCGGTTCCCCGCACTGGTCTAAGATAGTCCCCTTCTCGGTCATACCCTCTACTTCCACCGTATTATTTTTGACCCTTTCGGAATTGACATTGTCATTCTTTGGACCTGCTATTTGTGGCGATGCACGTGTTGAGCCCAAAATAAATCTATTGCATGTGGTTAAACTTGAAGTCCGAAGTATATTTGGACCTCGTAATAGGCAACATGAGTTTTACTTATCTTTTCTCGTCTTTTTTTTTCTTGTCTTTTTTCAAACAATTAAAAATTTTCGATCATTTTCCTACTTGTTTCTCTACAATATCATTAATTCAAATCAAACATACGGCAGAGATGTGAGAAAAATATGAAGGTTGTAATATTCTAACTTCAATGTAATGTTATAAATTATTATTATTTTTTCTTAAAAATAATACATATATATATAAATATTTATTTTTTTAAAATTTTAGTTACCTTATTTAAAATAAATAGATAAATACATATGTATATTTTTGATATATTATAATTTCTTTTAAAATGGAAATATCTAGTATTTAATTTTATTATAACTTTGTTTTTTAAAAAAATAATATTATGATATATATATACATATTTAAAATTTCAAATGGTTAATATAAGTAATTATATTAATATATATATATATATATATATATATATATTATGAAAGGGTGTAAAAAAAAAAATAATGAAATTTGTGCAGAAAAATCTGTTGCCCAGAAAAATCTACTACACACCTTATCCTCACACCTTATCCTCTTTTCCCTTAATTAATAAACCTTATCCTTAAGTAACTAAAATGTAAAGAGACTTTGAAATCAAACTAAAATACACAAATTTCCCATTAAAAGCTAATTATGTAATCTTTAAAATTCACACTATAAATAGGCTTGAACATGCAGTAAAAATTTGAACACAAGTTTACGAAGAAAAGAAATAGTGAGAAGAAAGAGAAAAGAGAGAGAAAGAGAGAGAGAAGAGTACGAAGAGGATCGTGAAATTATTTGTTTGTAGTTAACTCTTGATAAGTCAACATTCTAAGGTAAGGGAGAGGGAAATTTTATCTTTTTAAAATTTTATATGCTATTATGTTTATTTAATTATATTATATTTTGTGTGTATTTATTTAGTGAGGTGTCCCTAACTTCATTTATTTGCTTAATCTATAATAATTTTTACTCATAATAATTAATGAGGTGTTCCTAGTTTTTTTTGGTTCGTCCCTGGAGTATTCACCACCGATAGCAGTGACTAATCTCCTCGCTACGTTGGAGGCACCTCAAAGGGTGGGATAGTTGGTGTCGCAACCCGAAAATTTTCGATCTCGCGACTAATGGTTTAAACATCCTTTTAAAAGTCTCATCAATTAAGGAATGCCTGGACACCAGACTAATCCTTAATTAATGGTTTTGAAAATAGGTTCATGGAGTCGCCACCAATGTTTTACTTAAAACATTGGAAAAAGAAAAGGTTTTTAAAAGTCCAATAATGGTCTTGATAACCAGAATTGGGTTCAGGGGTCGGTTACGTGCAGGGAAGGTATTAAGCACCCCTACAACGCCCTAAATCGGTACCCTATGATGAAGATAACATAATAAGAATTAATAATTAAAATATTTAATCCCCTTTATTAATGATTATTTACATGAAAATTAAATTACACGGTTGAACCCTAAGAAATCTACATAATTGCGTTTATGATAGCAATAATTAAAATAAAAGAAGAGAAAAATAGAACAAGGGATTGATGAATAATACCTCGTAACAAGCTTTATTAGATCTTCAACTATGGAGATTTCAGGTGCTTTGTGACAACCTTTCTCACTACAATGCTTCACAAAATCTCAAGAAATACAAGAGGGAGAAAAAGAGATAAAAAGAGAGAAATTTCGAGCTCTATGGAGTCTAGATGAAATTTGGAGTCCGGAGAAAAGAGCCCCAGTTGTCTATTTATAGACTTCGGAAAGGGGGTTTTGAACGGCCCGTTCCAAAATCAGAATGGCCGTTCTGGATATGGTCGTTTCGTGTAAAATTCGTATACTGGAACGGCCCGTTCTGAAATCGGAACGGCCCGTTCCAGTAGTGAGAATAATAAGTAATTTTTAGACCGGAACGGCCTTGGAACGGCCCGTTCCAGATTTAGGAACGGCCCGTTCCGATTTAGGAACTGCCCGTTCCATTTTAGGAACGGCCCGTTCCAGCTCCGTTCCAATTAACCTTTTAGCCCTTTTTTGAGGAGTTTGTAACGGCCTGTTCTAATCTTGGAACGGCCTTAATATATATTATATTTATAGTGTAAGTAAAAATAACTTTTAATAAAAAATATATGTATCATTATATAATATCTGTCATTATATGATAATTTTTTTGTAGTATATAACTATTGGAAGGGATCTGTTTAAAATGTTATATACCTTCGGCATAATTTTGGGAATTTAGGTTTTTGTTATTTGTTCTTAATTGAACGTGTATTTCTATTCAAAACGGGGATAAGACATCATATATAAGCAATTTTGTACGTATTTAAGAATTAGATCAAAAGAAAAACAACTTGTATGACATGCTTGCAATTGTATATCATATATGTTGGGAGCCCTATAAGCCAACACACATAACTAGATACATGCATGCACACGATAACATGAATAGCTTATTATAATTTTCTCAGTACAAAACTAGATGAACATAGAATGGAATACAACCCCAACACAATTAAAATCAATATCAGACCCCATTACTTCACCACGTATGATTTTCCTTCCAAAAGGTCTCATGCAAATCACACAGCAGCTCTATTTGAGCACCAAGGCCAGCACAAACATAGTCTTACTGAATCATGATTTTTAAGTCTTGAAGCATTCTTACCAACCATTAAACATCCTGCAATGTGAGGTTTGAATGCCAGCCACCTCTCTTTAGTGGTTTAAAGTAAAAAGAAAACAGAAAGGCCAGCTAAATCAAACCAACCGCATATGATGTGTGTTTGGTCAATGACTCAACCTGAGCCCCTATTCTAAGGACCATGACCAAAGAAAAGAGAAAATGACATGAGAAAAGCCGAGTTACTCTCCTTTTTGTAGGTCATGGATTTTCCCTCCAAAATCTCTCAAATGGGTGGCTTAGAATATTAAATTCCTATCTATACCATATTAATAATATTATCCTTGACCGATCCATAGAAAACTAGTATCTGATCATGCTATATTATACCTTTTCTGCATAGTGCAACCAGTGTTCAGAGATATGTATCATAGGCTCTGGAGTTTTCTCATTCGGGTGATAAGGCGTTGACGAAGAATTCTTTTCCTCCATTACTACGAAGTTAGATTATCTCATGCAAGTTGATTGGTTTAGTAAGAATTTTAGTAGTTTCTGCAAAGCGATAGATTTAAGTTTAATTGTTATTGATGTATAACAAAATGAATTCCTCTCATGCACTTTGGGAAAATTAGTTTGGTATTATGGTTTTAATTTTTAATCATTGCATTATTAGAATTTTTGTTTTTGATTTAACTCAATCTTAAAAGTTTATGAAGATTGGACATCTCAATCGGTTAAGTATGAAATTTATAAGTGGAACTCTCTCATTCTGGTATAGGTACAGTTTTTGGTGGCTGGGGAATTAAAGCCACTCCCTCTCACTTAAAATATATATCTACTTTAATTTAAACCATTCTTTATGAACTTTAGTAGACAACTGCTTCTTCTAAAAGCAAATTTTGGCTTAACTCACACGTCTTCAGGGAACTGGATTTATCTGGTAAGTACTTTGGTGAAGAACAAAACATTAAAAAATTACACAAAGACACACAAACAACCTCTTTATACCATAAAAATGCATAGTATATATAGTAGTACACAATTTAGCAACAATTGCACACTTACCTGGAAAACACATTTATATATATTCCTATAACATAAACTACATATATAGTTTAACCACTATTAATGAAACTTACATGTTGTCTATCCTCGAACCAAAACTTTGAATAGTCGCTTCTTTTACTCATGTTTTTATCTTTTCTATTTCTTTATTAGCACAAAAACCAGGCTAGCTAAATCAAACCAACCGCATATACTATTCAATGTTCATTAACCTCATATTTCACAAATTCAAAAAAGACAGAAAGATGACTTATATGCTATAATGCACCGAAAGCAATACAAAAATCAAACAGGAAAAGGACAAAGATTTTGGTACCTGATTACTACTGAGTTATGGTCTTTGGGAGTGTGAAGGGGAGGTGGATTAAGGATTAGAAGGATTAGGGATTAGAGATTAAGGAAAAGTTAAATTGAAACCGAAATCGGAAAGGCAGGCCCGCTCTCTTTTTATTTTTTATTTTATTTTTTTTACTTTCTTAATTAAAATAAGTAAATATTAACTAGACATTTGATATGTAGAATGTTTTTACTTTCTTGAAAATTTTTAATCAAGAATTTTGGTTTCTCATGTTTTGTAATTATTGAAAAAAAACTCCAATAATATAATTTTTTCGCAACCATTTTTATCTCACTTTTTCACAAAAATATTTTTTATGGAGGGTAGGTGGGAATTCAATTTTCTCAAGTTAAGAAGAAAGTTTTATGTATATAAAAATATCACAATTTCTCTTCTTAAAAAAAATATTTCTTTCTCTCTTTCCTTCTGTTTCTCTTCTCCCCCCCACCCCCTCTCTCTTTCTCGTTTTCTATCTCATTCTCATTCTCACTCTCCCTCTCTTTCATGTAAAATATTAATAAACTTTTAAGATTGAGTTAAATAAAAAAAAAAAATTATAATAATGAAATGATTAAAAATTAAAAAAATAATAAAAAAATAATTTTACA